AGTATAAGAAGTAAAGCCATGCTTTATGTTGAGCTGTAGGGACTCAAGTCAACAATTTCTGACATTGCCAGTGAAGCGGAAGACCTAATACTATTATGGACTACTAGACTCTTTTAGAATATTTTGCTGAGTTCACACACCTATAATATTCAAATGACGGAACTAAACAAAAAAGGGGATACAGATGAATGTCCATTTTGGATCCATATATTCAAAATGGTTAGGATATATAGTTACATTCTCTTAACGAATAGAGGGATTTGTTCCAATAGTGTTTGTAAATAGGATATCATGTCTGCATCTTGTACAGCAAATAACCACTAGAAAGAGAGTATGCAATGTGTTAATTATTGAAACTGTTCTACCAATTTGATTTGAAACTGTCTCATTGCTACTTGTTTCTCAATAAAATTATGGGGGGAGAAAAAGAGAAAAGAGGGTTAGAAGGTGAGCAGGGTGAACATTTCCTTTATGGATATGTTACACATGAAATTCCAGGCAGAAATCCAGTAACCCGTAAGGACCAGAACTTAAATGCAACATAAATGCAGAAGCTTCACCAATTCAGGCAAAAGCATGGAATAGGAAGGAACCCCCCCTCCAAGAGACTATGGGAAGGAAAGAAAGGCCAACACCAGTACTCAGGCAGCACTGCGTGTGAGGGTCCCACAGAGAAGCAGCCTGCAAAGACACTGAAGCAGCAGCCAGAAGAAAATTCGGGGCCAGGAAAACAGTGTTCGAAGGAACAAAATTACCATATACGCATAAAGTTGCTGGAGAAATCAAAGGAAGCCATGTATGGTGGGCATGGGTTTAAGTCCAGCTCTTAAGAGGCTGAGACAGGAGGACTGTAAGTTTGAGGCTAGTCTGGACTACCTAGCAAGACCCTGTCACGAAGAAGTAGCAAATATATCCATGGAATCTGTGGTCACCGTGACAGTCACTGATAACTCTACCAGTGTCAGTGTAGTGATGTGGTATTCTTATTAAGAATAGCTGACAGTGGTGTCCCAAATTTTCTGATCAAGGAGATTATGGGACCACAGAGGAAAGTGATCCATGATGTAGAGTGTACCTAAGGAGAGACACCTAGAGAGAAAACATTCTCTCAGGCTTTCATAGAGAGCAAATTGGTCAAGCTATGACCGTGACTCATCCACATAGCTGACACTGACAAGAGATCTACAAACTGCTATACAGGTTTCAGGGTAAATCCCAAGGGGATGTGACTGACCTTGTCAGATACAAAAGTTACATTTTTTTTGTTATATAGGTCTTGCTTTATCTTGGTCTTAACCATCCAGCAGAAAAGTATAAACATGAGGTATAGAAAGTAAAGCTATATTAATATGCTGAGCTGTAAAAGGCTCAAATCAACAACTTCTGACAGTGCCAGTCATGCAGATAACCCATTACTATTATAGACTACTGGACTATATTGGAGTACTTTGCTTAATTCATGCACCTACAATATATGAATGGCAATGGAATACCCATCTCTGACAAAGTAAATGAAAAAGGGGGATATAAATGAAGGACTATTTTGTAGTGAAAAATATATGTATCTGTACATACAAAATAGTTAACATGGATATATACCTACTTTCTCGTAATTCAACAAGAAGAAAATTTTGAACTAATAGTGGTTAGACAAGATATCATGTACTATCATCTATCACGATATCATGTACTATGATATCATGTACAAGATATCATAGTACAAGCATCTTATACTATGAATAACTACTACTACAAAGACAACAATATGCACTGTATTAATTATTGTAACTGTCTTACAAGCCTGTTTTGAAACTGTCGAAAAAAAAACTTATGGCCACAAACACCTATGGTGCACATAGTGTGCAATGAAATCTGACCATTGCAGAGCTCAGCCAGTTGCCTTCCCAGCAGTGCTTCAATGTAAAGCCCAGTCAGCTGACTTCGGCCACACCTAATTTTGAAGTACAGACAGGGCTGTGTTCAACTAGCAACTACAGCAGCCAAACCCTACCTGCCCACAGATGTTGGATAGCCTATACAGAACCCCAGGCCAGGCTAGTTGCTGAAGGTATTCCTTAACCAAAATGTCCCTGTAAAAATTAAAGTAGCAGCTAGGTATGGTAATATATTTATTTAACCTGATTTAAACATCACATGCACAAAGCCATGGGTTGGATCCCCAGCACATATATATGTACCAAAATAAGTATGTATACCAAAAGAGGTAAACATACATATCAAAATATAGCATGATATACATAGATAGATATAGATACAGATATATAGATATAAATATATAATTTTTATGATCAGTTTAAAATAAATTCACCACAGGTACAAATTTTCTATGATGAATGTGATCAACATGTATATCTAAACTGTACCAAAATCTAATTTAAAAAATAAAAAGTAATAAAATAAATTCCCATCAGACATGGTGGTACATGCCTGTAATCCCAGCACCCAAGAAACTGAGGCAGGATTGCTGAGAGTTCAAGGCCAGCCTGAGCTACTCAATAAGTTCAAGGCCAGGCTGAACTACATAGTAAGACCCTGTGTCAAAAATAAATACCTAAAGGGGCTAGGGAGATGGCTCAGTAGAGTAAGTGCTTGCCTGACAAGCACCAAGGGCCTGAGCTCAATCCTCAGTTCTAAAATAAATAAATAAATAAATAAATAGCATCCAGGGATATAGCTCAGTAGCACAGCACCTGCCTGGCAGGCACAAGGTCCTGAGTTCAACTCCCAGTACCAAAAATAGTAATAATAATAATAAATATAAATAAATTCAAGTTTAGCCTGTAAGCCAAGCATTTTGGAAACCTGACCCAGGACAACTACAAATTTAAGCTTAGCATAGTCAATTTAGCAAGATCCTGTCTCAAAAAATGAAAAATGTTGAGGATATAGCTCACTGCCAAGTAATAGGTTCAATACCACTAACGAATAAAAAGAGAGGGCTGGGGAGATTGCCCAGTGGTTTAAGTGCCTGCCTGGCAAGCACAAAGACCCAGGTTCCATTCCCTGATACCACATGCCATGCCAGCCCCGGAACCTTGGGCACATTGTGCCAGCCACCGAAACCAGGCATGGTGGTGCACACCTGTAATTCCAGCGCTGGGGAGACTGAGACAGGAGGATCACTACGAGTCCGAGATGCATAGCGAGACCCTGCACCAAATAAAAATAAAGGAAAGAAAGAAGATGGAAGAAGAGGCCAGTTAGAAAATGAGAAAAAAAAATATTAGCAAAGCCATTCACTTAATAAGTAGTATTTGGGACTGACATACACTGACACACACACACACACACACACACACACACACGGAGTGAGAAGGAGGAGGGGGAGAAAAAAATGGGCAAATTATCTGAATGGACATTCTTCAAAAACAGAAAAAGAGGGGCCGGGGAGATGGCTCAGTAGGATAAGCACTTGACTGGCAAACGCACGGATCTGAGTTCAATGCCCGGTTCCGCAAAAAAAAAAAAAAAGAGAAAAACAGAAAAAGACATAGGCATGCCAGGCTTGGTGACACACGCCTGTAATCCCAGCACTCAGGAGGCTGAGGCAGGAAGAGTGTCAAAAGTTTGAGGCTAGCTTGGGCTACATAGTTTAAGGTCAACCTAAACTACAAAAAGAGACCCTATCTCAAAACAAAGCAAAACCACCAAAAAAAGAAGAATATTTAAAAAAAAAAAAAAAAGGAAAGAAAAATAAGAAGATATAGCCAGGTATGGTGGCACATGCCTTTAAGGCCTATACTCTGGGAGACTTAGGAGGATCCCAAATTCAAGCCCAGCCTGGTCAACTTAAATCCCAAATTCAAGCCCAGCCCTGTCTCAAAAAATAAAAGGGCTAGAATATAGTTCACTGTGAATGTCCTAGGTTCAATTCCCAGTGCCCCAAAAAAATAAAAAAGAAAAAAGCATAGATGACCAAGAGATACATAAACAAGAGTTCAATATCACTAATCAACAGGTAAAATAGTTGCTTCTCTCTTTTTGTCCTTGCTGTTTTCTGCTGCCATGAACTACTGCCCTCCGCCACATGCCACTTTACCTTGGAACAGGCACATATGGACTGAAACCTCCATGAACTGAACTAAATAAACATTTGTTTCCTTAAAAAAAAAAAAAAAAAAAAAAAAAGGTAAAGGGGGCCAGGGAGATGGCTCAGTGGAATAAGCGCTTCCCTGGCAAGTGTAAGGGCCTGAGTTCAATCCCTGGTTCTGCAAAAAAAAAAAAAAGGTAAAATGGAAAACAAAATTATAATAACCTCAAACTTGTTAGGATGGCTATTATAAGAAAGAAATGTACCAAGTGCTTGCAAATGGGCACCCCATATATGGTTGGTAGCAATGTAAAGTGTTACATCCACTAACAATGGAAGCTGCCAATGTAGCTCAGTTCTAGAGTGCTTGTCTAGCATTTACGAGGCCCCGGATTTGATCCATAAATAAATAAATAAATAAATAAATAAATAAATGTTTGGAAGTTTCTCAAAAAAATTAAAATAGAAATACTATATAATGTAGCAATCCTACTTCTTGGATATCCATCCAAAAGAAATGAAATCTAATGCATCCTCATGTTCATTGCAGCACTATTCTTTTTTTTTACAGTTCCTTTTTTTTTATTTAATTTTTTTTAAATTTTTTTTTTCCAAATCAAATTGGTAGGAGTGCAGCACGATTCTTAAGAGCCAAACTAGAGAAACAACCTAAGTGTGCTTCCACAGATGAATAAAAGAAGTATGTGAGTGGCTGAGGGTATAGCTGAATGGTAGAGTGTCTGGCATGCAGGTAGCCCTGGGTTCACTCCCCAGCATCAAAGAAAGAAACCCCCAAATTCCCCAAAATTAATGAAAACCATTTATCTACAAATATAAACTCAATGAGTACTAATCAGGATAATCCACAAGAGACTCATATCCAGATACATTATAAACTGCAAAAAGACAGAGAATGGTAATGAAGCAATTCGTCATGCACAAAGGGTCCTGAAAAACACAGAGTAATTTCTCATCAGAAACCATGAAAGCCAACAGACAACAAAACTACATTATTTAAGATACTGAAGGAAAAATCTGTCAAATAAGAATTCTATGTGACACATCTACCCTTCAAAATGAAGGAGAAATTAAGACATGCTCAGGTGAACAAAAGCTGAGCGAGTTCCCTAAGTTTATTGCTATCTGCCTTCCTCTAGAAAAAACGCTAAAAGGAGTCTTTCCTGTTGAAATGATAAGATACTATTTTTTTTTCTTTCTTTTTTTTTTTTTTATGGTCAGCTCAGCCCACCCGGGGGGCGGAGTTGGCATGGCATGTGGTGCTGGGGATCAAACTGAGGTTCCTTCATGCTTGCCTAAGCAGGCGCTTTAGACCACTGAGCTATCTCCGTGGCTTGAAATGATAGGATACTAGACAGTAACTCAAAGCTGAAGAAATGAAGATCTCCAATAAGAGTAAAAGGTCAGGGATAAGAGTACAGCTCAGCGATAAAGCACAGGTCTAGTAAGTGCAGGTGCTGAGTACAATTCCCAGTACCTCCACCAAAAAAAATTAAATGGTCAAATGTAAAAGCTAGTAATGGTACTCGCTATGGTTCGAAAACAGGTGTCCCTCCAAAGCCTCATGAGAAGTAATGGGGTGGCTTCTGGAGTTTTTGATTATTGTGGGTGTGGATACTACACCTGCCCTGGGCCAGGTAATTTGCATTACAATGTAAGGAGAGAAAAAAGGCTAGCTAGCTTCCTGTGCTGCTGCCACACCCTTTGCTCTGGCACTTTGCTGCTGCCATGAAAGGCTACTGTCTGCCATGTGCCTTGGAACAAGGAGAGTATGGACTGAAACCTCCATTGATTTGAGCTAAATAAATCTTTCCTTCCCTAATTTTGAATGTAGGGTATTTGTCCCAGCAACGAGAAAAGAGTAACCGAGACAATACTGTACTTTAAGTTTACAAATATACTTTTCATTTCATAACACTTTTTAAAAGCATTCAAATCATTGTTATTGGGTACACACTGTATAAGGGTGTAATCTAAAATGTTAAAATGGGGGGCCCAGCCCCAGCTCAGTTCTTTAAGTGGCTGCTTCCACAATGCTGGCAGCCTCAGTTTGCTGTAGTTC